GTCATCATGTTCAGAAGTTTCCTTCCAGATCCTAATTAATATTGATATAAAAAAGACCTAGCCTATGCAATGATGTTGGAAGTCATATACTATTAAAGAAGGAGGCCTGTAATCTGAGTCTTAAGTTGTGGGCATGAATATTTTTCTAAGCAAATTACTTAATTTCTAATATTAGGAAACATTTTAGTAAAATGTACTTAAGAGATTCTTTTTAAAGCCCTTAAAGAATGTACTTACTCTGGGCTGGCGATGTAGCTCAGCAGCAGAGGGCTTGCCCAGAGTGCATGGAGCCCTGAGTTCAATCACCAGCGTCATCATAACAAAAAGAAAAAAAAGAGAAACAACCCTGATTCTGAACTCGGCTGCATGACATGAAAGCCCTCGAGCACTCACCACCCCGTGAGCGGCGAATGCACTGTGCCGCTTCCTCGCGCTCATCGCCTCGTCAAATCCGAGCTGACGAAGCAGCATACAAGTCAGAAAGGGAGCCGCCTCCTCTGTGCGGTTTTCCTTTGTGCACCTGGTATTTGCAGGTGGGGAAAAGGCCACGCGTGCCTCCCAGCCTATAAAAGTCAGATGTTATAAGGAATACGAATCCTACACCATCTATTTGAAATTCAGTCTTACTATAGTTATAATTAGGTATAAAAGCTGCTTTACCAGTCAGGAGTTCTACTGAGATAACCTGAACCGCCTGCAATAACCTTGTCCTGTACAATCCTTCAAGTCCTCATTGCTATTATCACAAGAAGTGCAGGCGCCACTGCTCCGACCGTCCTTCAGAGGGAAGGCCAGCACCTCGGACCTGAGCCGAGAGGTGGGTGAGTGACAGGGACAACATTTACAATTTTACAGTGTTCTTCTTCGAAGGAATTTTTAGTTTTACCCACTTACCAGAGTGTCACTCGGGCAGTGCGTTTGCTTACATACCGACTACCCCGAGCATCACCCAGGCAGGCTCATTTTAACCAGTTAGTTTGTATTTGCATGAGAAACACTCCTACTCACCATTTTTATATTTCATGCTATATTGTCTTATAAAAATTAATGAAAAATTGCAATTTTTGCTCATCCTGTATTTAAATAACTAGGTTGATAAATGATTAAATCCTAATTTCTTTCTCTTTAAAAATTAGCTTATCGTATTATACAGAAATATTAATTACAGTATTATTAAAATACAACATGCCTTTGTATCCAGTACTTTTGTGGTACTTATTCTTCTTTGAATTCTTATTCTTTTAGTCCGAGCCATAATCTCTCCTACTTTCTCTCTCTTGGCTTGCGCCTGATAAACCCCAAAGCCTCGTTCAGTCATAGCTGGGGCTTTTCCAGATGGGCCAAATTGAGCATGTGATCCGTTCATGGTGCAATGCTAGGGTTAAGGACAAGTACTGCTAAATTAGTCCACTGATCAGTTTGGCGCTGCCCTGGTCCCAGTAGCCTAGATAGAGTACAAAGAGGCAGAAAGAAGCTGAGGCCCCTTGCTGCTTTTGCAGTTTTCTGCTTGCCATGCTGTGTTTCTCCTCTACAGTGTCCCTTGAGCTAAGTAATCCTTTCCTCCTCAACTTGTGGGTGTTGGTGTTTTGTCTCAGCAAGGAGAGAAGTAACCAAGACTCATCTATATAGCAGCTCACGTAGATCCATCTTTCAGGAACAGAGATGCTTTAGCGGGACATCATTCCTTCTGCCCATCAGCCCCAGATATTCATCATAATCTACAAAAACTTCAGATAGGTTTTCAGACACTTCAGGCCCAACGGCAGGACACAGCCTTTTCTGTGTTTAGCAATCAGGACCCAGAGGAAGGACAAAAATGGCCAATCCTGTAGTGGTCACAGTTGGCAGTGCTTCAAGCCCAGCCAGCCAGGTCATCTAAGGCAAATCCATGGGACAGCTGAGGGTCTGCAACAGCGCACGACTTCACCAAGCCACTGTCTGCACCCTGCTCTGAACTTGCGGCCACTGTGTACCTGACTCTTGGCATTTGAGGCTCGATCATCCCCGCTCCCAGAGAGGGGGCAGCCCACCCTGAACCCTCACTTCTTTCTCTGATGACCAAAGAGGCCCAGGGGAGCCTGCACCACTCCTGTCTACAGACGTCACCATCTCCCCTGAGGCAGGCTGAGTGACTCAGACACCGTGGGTAAGCCAGCTCAGATACTCCCTTTTGCGCTGACTTCCTCTCTAGCAGACCCTCCTCTGGATCTACAGTCTTAGCTGCGCTCCAGGGGATGCTGATCAGAGATTCTTTGTACCTTTACGCACAGAAGAAGCTGCATAGTTAACTTTGGGGCAGAGCCTAAATGTCCTGACGCCCCTTCAGGTCGGAGTTACTCTGGAGACAGAAGGTCACTTGTGGTTCACAGGGGAAGCCTCACAAAGCCCTGACCATGGGCTTGCACAAGCCTGAGAGTGTTGCAAAAGCTTGCACTACTATTACCCCTACTTCTTTCCTGCCCACAGGCCCAGAGCTACTCTTATGAACAAGTGATCTCCCAGATCCACGCAAGCAGGCCACCGGTGACCGTCCCTCCAAACCCCGAGGAGGTGCAGCTCCCTGATAGAAATCCTACACCTCCTAGAGGAAGTCGACCTTCCCAAGCAGATCGCTCTCGTGCACTGTAAAGGCACCGAACAGACTATCCAAAGTCTTGGGAATCAAAAGGCTGACAGGGAAGCAGGAAGGACAGCCCTACAGCCCCACAGCCCCACAAGGCCCTGGACTCAGTCCCAGGTCCTCAGGAACAATTCTGGTTCTTCCTCAAGAGACATAGTGACAAGCTAGAAAAATCCTACATAGGAAGTGGGCTTCAGTCTTCTGGGAAGGCCAAGAAAGCCAAGCAGAACCTCAAGCGAGCCCTGGCAATACTTTGCCAAGAGACATCTGAGTCCTGGCTTCGATCGTTGCCAAGAGTGCTCATGAGGGCTCCTAACATACCCAAAGCTGGCCTAGATCTGAGCTCATTTGGGATGTCACCACAGAGGCCATTTGTATCCTCTGATATGGTAGAAGACCCAGGGACAACAAGGCTCTCATGGTGTTTCCTTAATCCGAGCCATGGGCTGGGGATGTAGCTCCATGGTAGAGCTCTTGCCATAGGTTTGATCCCTAGCACCACAAAATAAATAGGTACAACCCACCATCCAAATGTGTATTGCCAACCCCTGGCCTGGGGGACCACTACTGTCCATGCTGGAGACCAGGTGTTTGCAAAATCTCAGAGAAGGGAGACACCTGCTGACCAATAAAGCCAAAAGGAAGGGTCCCTTCTCAGACATCCTTGCCATGCCCACTGCGGTAAAGGTGGCACAGAGACACTCAGCTTTCTTGAGTAAAGTCCGTCCCACTTGGACTGTCTGAAGAACAAGATCACCCAACAGGAGCAAGCTATTCCTCTAGCCCCTGGAAGGCTCGCGATTTCTCGCGTGTGCTCAGGGCTGCTACAGGAAGTGTGGAAGTCAGAGCTGCTTCCCATTTTGGGGGTAATAGTAAAGGTCAGTGGTCACTAACTCTTACCTCAGTGTTTCCCAACTGGAGTTTTTTCTTCCACACAGCCAGTGAGCCATATGTGTGCGCCTCCGGTAAGTGGATAGCACATGATCCTGGCAGGTCGGGTCTGCAGCCCCTTCCAGGCTGCCGAAGCTGTGGAAAACGGAGACCTCCACTCCCTCAGCAGCAGCACATGGTCCATAACCTTCTCTGTGTCCTGAAGTGCGTCGTGTCTTTCCCAGAGTGCAGCTGTAAATCAGGAAGAGTTGGAGAGATGGGATGAGTGGAGAAAGGGTGTAGAGATAAATAACTCTATATGAATGTGCAATTTGCTTGCTGAGGGCTATGCCATATTTCCATTTAAACTACCTTTGACACTAGAAACTAAATAAACCATTCATCATTTCTGTTTCCTAAAACATAAGATGAACTAAATGGTTTATCTACCAATTTGTTAGGGTAAATTTCAAAGCACACTCACTGCAAGACAGCTACACATACACAACCAACCAGGAAACACAAGCACATGAATACTTGAGACTTGAGGAGAGAAAGTAAATAAAAATTCAAACACAATTATTCCATGATCTATTCTGGCTTTCTCAGCTATAGTTAGCAAGCATTAGCAACAGTCAAGCCAGGCCTCAAATCTTTGTACCTCAACCTGGCAATTCCGGGCATTACAGGCAGGAAAGTCTCAAGTCTGAAGACAGCCTGGGGAACTTACCAAGACTCTGCTTTGAAGAGAAAAACCAAAACAAAAGAAAACCTATCATGTCTTTATTGGACAAAGATCTGTACTAATTTTTTAAAAGCATACAGAGAGAGGCATAAAGTTGTAGAAAAACTAGGCACTCAAAACATGCTTGCGCCTAAGGAAACAAGAAGCTTCCAACAGCCTTGGCAACTAATGTAATAAAATGGTAAGAGAATTACCTGAGTATTCAGTGACCTCCTCTGCCGTTGTTCCTTCCACTCCTCCTGCTAGGTTTTCAATATGGTCACTATTTCCTCCCACTAAAATAACTGTGTTTTTCATTTAAATGAATTAACTTCATTAGTCATTTAGGTGAATAACCTCATTAGCCATTTACGTTTCAGTTAATCAATCCAAAGTTCAACAGCCTAATTAATAAAATGTCTTCTTTATATAGTTTCAGTAGGCCTTGAAATCCTTAAATGAAAATAGTCTTTAAACCCAAAGGACAAAGCCTGAAGGGCAGCTGCACAGAGTATTTTTGTTCCTTGTAGATTTGTAGAGGTATGAACACACTGCTGTTGTTATTCACCTTTTACAGGCAAGGCAAGGAAAGCAAAGACTGCTTAAGTAATTGAGCCCCAAACCAAAAGCAATCTAGTAATTTAAAATATTCCTAGTATCCATAAAGGAAGAAATCTAATCCTATCTCTAATAGATAAATGAAAAAAGTAGAGTCATTTCATAATGCACAAATAAACTTCCAAACCTGTGTGCTCTGTTCTTGCAGGGGCATTCTTTTCATGTCTTCTTCCAAAAAGGATACTGTCAATTAATCAACATTTTAACTTATTTTGAATATGAAAACAGCCCACCAACTACTGCTATGACTGCTACCATTCTATACTAATCCAAAAATCTGACTCTTTAAATTTCTGACCACTTTGCTCATATAAAACATCTTTTAGGGGCAGGGGAGATGGCTCAGTAGGATAAGCACTTGACTGGCAAATGCAAGGATCTGAGTTCAATCCCCAGTTCCGCAAAA